GGGTTTCGATGCAACTATCAGAGCCACTGCCTTCCCCACCCCTCCCAGAAGCTGTATCCAGATGCAGTGCAGAGAAGAGCTGGGCATTCAGATGTGCCAGCCCAAGGAGTGGGACCATGGGCACGTGCTGGCTCCTGGCCTCCACGTTGTCCCAGGGGGATCTGTTCCCTTTCCCTCAGTCACAGCTCTCAAGGAAAGGAAGCTCTGACCTTGAAACTTTAGACAACATTTCCACCTCTGGTTAAGCAGGTATGTTCAGTTTTAACTTTTATGAAATCTCAGGCAGCCGCTTACTAACGTTATTTGTAGAGTGTGAGAAGGGAGCTCCATGTTTGCATGAACTCCTGCGATGCATGTTGGGTCACAGGGGTGTGGGGCATGGCACAGCTCTGCTGCCTCAACTCTGCATCTGCACCCCGTGCCCCTCACACCCACTCTGTGCAGTGGGGGTGGGCCCATGAGGTCCTTCTTGTTCCTCAACCTGAAAATCATGTAATTATTAAGGTTCGAAAGACCCATAAGATCATTTAGCCCAACTGTCAGCCCATGCCTGTGACCTCTCTAGACCATGTCCATCAGTGCCACATCTCCATGGTTCTTGAACCCCTCCAGGGATGGTGACTCCACCACCTCACTGGCAGCCTGTGCCACTGCCTCGCCGCTCTTCCTGAAAAGAAATTTCTGCTAATATCCAACCAAAAATGATGGAACCCATGGAAATGGCTAAGAATGAAGGCAAAGCTGGGGAGCTGGGAAATGTCCAGCATCCGATGCACAAAGCACAGAGAGGTGATCCAAGAGAAGGAAACCTGGGATACCTTCAGAGCACAGAAGGGAAAAGCCCTGTGGCTGAGCCCAGCCCAGCAGCCGACCCTGAGGTTTGATGGTTTTGCAGATTTTATTTTTTTTGCACTAGAGGGTGCTGCTCTGTTAGCATTTGGGAACGCTTGCAGCGCAGTATTGCTTTCGCTGCTGTGTTGTGTGGAGTTGGGCTGAGGGGATGCATGTTGGTGCTCACAGCAGCATTCAGACAGGCCTGGGGTGAAGGAGGGCTGCTGAGCTGGGAAAGAACTTCTAAGCGTGGAAAAGTTCTGTACATCTAAGATCAAGGGTAAAAACATGTGGGTTAGTAACGGTGACAAATGAGAGGGAAAACTGGACGCCTCTTCTTTTTTCCTGTTTCACAGTTCCAGGTTGAACGAGTGCCTCGGGGAGCTGAGAAATGAGACAACGCAGTGAGAAGAGGACAGTGAGTGCAGACACTGTCAGTACCAAACCTTTGGAATTCACTGCTGCAGGATGGATAGCCAACAACTTGTGGTGATGAGCTCTAGCAGAAGTAAAATCAAAGTGCCCTTTTATAACTGTTTAGATACAAAGTGAAGGGCATCCAGCCCCCTGACACCAGGATGCAGAATGATGTGTGAGAAGGACTGTGGGAAATGACATCCCCATGCATGGCCAATGCCCACTGACTGTGTTTCCATCACACAAGGCACAGAGCAAGTGGGCAGTGCCTGGGGAGAGGGCACATCTCCTTTGGGCAAATGGGTCCCATTAGGGTTCTTTGAGGGCTGCAATGGCACCATTCTGCAGAGGTGTGCTCCTAAAAAGGAAAGCACTGTTTTAAAGCCCACCAATGCTTAAGTCCATTGAGAGCATGGAAGGAGGGCTGGAAGAAAACCAATAATTACTCTCAGATAAAATTACTTTTACAAAGTGATTTTCTTCTAGAATCTTGGATTCATGTATGGGCTGCCTGTGCTGTAGATACGCCTGCATTCTCATAGCTCTGTTTCCAGTGTTCCTGCATTTCTGACTGCTGTTGGCAAGAAGCTGTAGATTGTTTCTTACTCAGAGTTTTCTTACATCTTAGTGTCTCCTTCTTCAACCCTCGACGTCCTTTAAGCATTGCACCTTTAAGGTACTGCTACTGCAGGGGCCATGGCAAGAGGCACTACAGCACAAACCAGATGAGTATGGGGAATTTAGGTGGAGTTACTCCAGTGAAACCATTGAAAAATGCCCTGCTCTAGGAATGGCAATTGCCCCGTTAAAGCATGCTGGGTGTGTGCATCCTGGCAGCTGTGCAGGAGCACAGCACAGCGGGGCAGCACTGCTGCCTCATCACCTCTCATCAGCTGCCAGGGCTAATTGCAGGGGCTCTCTGCAGACCTCTCAGCTTGTGTGGCCTGGAAAATCCCAGGGACAATCTTCAGGCAGTGCACAGGTGGGGTAAGCCATGGAGCCTGCCGAAGCAGAGAGTTTGGGGAATGGTGGCAGAAAGGTTTTTTCTTCCAGGTGGAGTTAATCCTCTGCATGCTGACACCCCTGGGGGAGGGAGCAGGCAGGCAGGGCTGGAGAAAATTTGGGAGACTGCTGTTTCAACTTTGAGCAGCTTGAACACAAACCCTACAGCACCACAGGATCACTGCTCTGAATGTCTGAAAATGGGCTTCCCAAAGGCTGGCACGCCAAAGGACTGCCTGACCCAACTGCAAGGAAACCCTGAGGAAGGGACCATCTTGACCCGGCTGTCCTGCAGCACACAGCTTCCTTTCCCATGGCTGGGGGATGCTAGTTATTACCCTGATGTTTTTAAAAATAGGATTGATGTAGCTGCAGGTTTTCATGAAAAATAAAGAGAAAGAAAGGAATGAAGAATGAAAGAGAAGATAGAAAAAAGGGAAGGAAGAAAGGAAGGAAGAAAAGAAAGAAAAAGAAATGAAAAAATAAAGGAAACAAAGAAATGAAGAAAGAAGGAAAAAAGAAAAGAAGGGAAGGGAAGGGAGGGAAAGGAAAGAAATGAAGAAAAGAAAGAAAGAAAAAGAAATGAAGAAAAGGAAGAAAAAGAAATGAAGAAAGAAAGAAGAAAAGGAAAAAAAGAAAGAGAAGGAGAGAAAGAAAGAAAGAAAGAGAAAAATGAAGAAAGAAAGAAAAAAAATGAAGAAAAGAACAGAAGAAAGAAAGAAGGAAGGAAGGGAGGAAGAAAGTATGAAAGGAAAAAACAAAGAAAGAAAATAAGAAATGAATGAGGGAAGAAAGGAAGATGGAAAGAAAGTAAGGAAGAAAGAAAGAAGGAAAAAGAAAGAAAAGAAAGAAAGAAGGGAAAAAAAGGAAGAAGGAAGAAGGGAAGAAAGAAAGAAGGAGTGCGAAGGGCCGTGGCACAGCGGTGCCGTGGTGGAGCGGCGCGGAGCAGCGCGCAGCCCCGGCGCTGTGCCCTCGGCAGGTGGCGGCAGAGCGCGGCCGTGGGCTGGGGGGGCCGGGGGGGCCGGGGGTGCTCGGGCTGCGCCGCACCAGGGGGATCCGAAGGGCCGCGCGATGCGATTGAAAAATGAAGTCCTCTAGAGAAAGCGGGAGTTTTGATGTATAGCAAATGATGTATACCGTAGGTATAGACAGAACAGCAACAAAAAAGATGTATTTAAGCCTAAAAAAGAGAAAGAGCGCCGGGGTGCAACGCGGGGCGGCGGAGGGAGGCCCGGCCCCGGGCAGCTGGAGAGGGGTGGGGTGCGGGGAACTCGGCCCATGACGGGATGCTCCGAGCGGGGAGCGGAGACGAGGAGCAGCGGCGGCGGCGCGGGGTGCGCCCGGCTGCGGGCGTGCGGAGCTTGCGAGCTTCTTCTCCACCTCCTCTTCGCTCGGCATCGGAGGAAAAAAAAAATAAAAATAAAATAAAAACAATAATAAAAGTCCTTCGAGACTTCATCCCGCTTAAAAAAAAAAAAAAAAAAGCGCATCATCTCCAGTCCATTCGCCTCCTTCTCGAGTCCCTCGGAAAGGGAGATTAAAGGGGAAAGTCGCAGCTGTATATTTGTGTTTTCATTGCTAGAAGGGAATTGATTTCCTCGCATTTATTTTTGTAGTTGCAATACACAAGGGCGGATTTGCGTCACCCAAGCAACTTGCTGGTCGAGATAAAGTTGCACAAATATTGAAAAGGGAAGTGCTCGCGCTCATTATGAAGTTTTTCTCCGGAAGAAATAAGGATTTCTGCTGTATCCTAAAATACTGAAGCCGCTTCTATTTTAGGACAAATCTCGCAGGCACATCCGCTCATTTAGTCCGAGTTGGAACCTCTCGAAAAAACAGGAGATGACCCGGGCTGCAGCCGAGCCCCGCGCTTCCTGCAGCCTTCGGGCACCGCTGCGCACCGGCTGCGCGGCCGCGCAAAGCTGCGCGCCCCGGGGGTAGCGGGCAGTGCTCCGGACTCCGGGAATAAAGGGGGAAAACAACCGAACAAAAGCAGCGATCCACCTTTGCTGCCGATACATACGCGGTCCTCGTTGTCGGTGCAGCGATGACCGAATTTCTCCCCGCGAGAGGACGGGGCGGGGGTGGCGGCGTTCGTTGCCACCGTGCGCAGCGGTGGGGGGCACGGCCCGGCCGGGGCGCCGGACCGAAGGGTGGGCGAAGACTCGTTTGGGCCGGAGCGAGAGCTGCAGAGCAGCAACGGGGCCGGCAGCGCGGGGGGATGCGGGGAAGGGGGATACGGGAGAAGCTCAGAGTCGAGCCAGTCTCGCTTTCCCCTCGCTTTCGGACACGGCTCAGCAGTGCTTATTATCGTTTCCATTTCAACGGCGCTGATAAAACCCAACGCAAACCAAAGCCGTTCCCGTCTGGGAGCGCGCTCGGCCTCGAGCACAAAGCTCGGCCACCCCGTACCTGCGGAAGGGGACCGTTCCGCCGTCAGGCCCTGGGAAGGCGCCGAATTTTGAATGCTATTTTCAAAACTAATCATAATTTTTCGAAACCAATCCAAAGCAAATCCGCAACCGTACAACTCCAGACCTGCTCACAGCGTCTCCGTTTGTGGAAACGACAATTAAAAATGTTCTTTATATGTATCCCGTTTGTATTTTCATCGGTATTTGTGTTTAAATTTGTATATCTATTTCTATTTTTAATTGTATTGTTATTGTTTTCATTTCTATTTTTATTCCCGTTTCTATTTCTGTTTTTATTTCTATTGTCTTCCCAGCACCATCTCGGGAGAGACGTGGGCACTGTATATCAGCACAACACACGCGCTGATGGGTTTGTCTCCCAAACATTCCAGCGACCGAAGCCTGGGGCAATATTCTAAAAGAACAAAATAGGCGTCATTTGGATGCCAAATTTTCCAAAATTACGAATCGGGCTTGAGGTGGAAACGATGCCCGAGCAGCGGGCGGAGTGCCCCCTGAAGTCCTACCCACGGAGATGCCACCAAGGCGCGCAGCTCCGGCCTCCCGCAGACGCACGCTGCGCACATGGCTGTGGGCAACGTGTCACGGAACGGCCCGGCCTCGTGTGTCATTCTGAGGCTGCGGCTGTCACCGGCCACGACTGTCCCGCCTGGGTTACTGCGGGTGAGGGCGCGGGACACACCTTGCGGGCCCCAGCACGGGCCCAGCACAGCTCAGCACGGCCCAGCGCGGCCCATCCCGGCTCGGCAACGCGGGGCGTGTCGGCGGGCGGTGCGTTCCGGCCCCGCGGAGAGCGGATTGGGCGCGGGCGGGCGGGGGGCGGCGGGAGCGAGGGCTGCGGCGGGTCCGGGAACCGCTGCCAGAGAAAGTTTGGGGAGGGAGGGGTGCATTTTTTCCCCGGCGCGAGAAAGGGGGTTTGTTTTGTTTTCTTTGCGCCGCTGCTCTCCCGCGCTGGCCGCTCGCTCTCTGCCTCTCGCCGCGAGTTTTGGGGACTTCTTCCTTTTTTCTTTTCTTTTTTTTCTTTTTTTTTTTTTTCCCTCCCTTTAAGTTTTTTTTTCCCCTATTTTACTTTATTTTTCCCTGCCCCTCCGGCAAGCGCTGCCCCGTAGCCGCCCCCGCCATCCTTCCCCATGCCCGCGGGCCGGCGGGCAGCCCCGCGCCGCGCTCCCGGCAGCTGAGCCGCTCCCCGGGCACGCAGCCCGGCCGCCGCCGGCAGGATGTACACGGCCGGCCTGGCCCCCTTCTACGCCTCCAACTTCAGCCTCTGGTCAGCGGCGTATTGCTCGGCGGCGGGGCCGGCGGCCGGAGGCTGCTTCCCGCTGGAGGCGGCCAAGAAGCCGTCCTTCTGCATCGCCGACATCCTGCACGCCGGCGGAGAAGCGGCGGCCGGACCCGCCGACGCAGCGCCCGGGCTGCCAGCGGCCGCCGCAGCCGCGCTCGGTTCCATCCTTCCCGGCGGCCCCTTCCACGCCGCCGCCTCCCCGCTGCGGCCGACGCCCGTCGTGGCCCCCGACGCCCCCTCCGGAGCCGCCGCCGCCGCCGCCGCGTTCCCTCCTCGCCTCTCGCCGCTCTCCGCCGCCTTCCACCCCCCGCACCACCACCGCGCCCCGCAGCACCGCAACCCCGCGGCGGCGGCGGCGGCGGCCGCACCGGGCGGAGGAGGGGGAACCCCGGCGCGGGGACCCGGGGGCCACACGGGCGGCTCGGCGCCGGCGCCCGCCAGCAAGGACCTGAAATTCGGCATCGACCGCATTTTGTCGGCGGAGTTTGACCCCAAAGTGAAGGAAGGCAACACGCTGAGAGGTAGAGAAATCGCCGCGTCCGCTTTGCGTGCTCGGCGCTGGGTTGTTTTCCCCGTCCCCGCGGCTTTACACCGAGAAAAGCGGGGAACGAGGGCTCTCCCGCATCCCGCGCGGCGGCACCCCCTTGGAAATAGCGATAGCCTCCATGTAGCGAAGCCGAGGCGGGCAGAGCCGCGGCCTCCCCCCGCAGCCCGAAGGAGGGAGCGCACGGCGGGGCCGCGGGGCTCCGTTCGCTCCGTCGGGGCCCGACCGCGCCGTAACCGCGCTCTCCTTGTTCTGTGCTCGCAGATCTCACCTCGCTATTAAGTACCAGCCGCCAGGCCGGGGTTCACCTCCCCGCCTTGCAGCCGTCCGCCGGCCAGTTCTTCGCGTCTCTAGAGCCCATTAACGAGGCCTCTGCCCTTCTGGGGCCCCTAAACACGGCCCCAAGGAGCTCAGTTCAGCACCAGTTTCAGGACACTTTTCCAGGTACATCTCGCTCCCCCCGTGGCACCGGGCCCGCAGGGACTCGCGTTTATAAACGCTGGAGATGGTTACTATTTTTTTTTATATAATGATATAACGATGATATGATTTTTTTCTTCGCGAGGCTCGGGTTTGGGACGCCCCATGGGGGGAGGACGAGCGCTTCAGGGCCTGATCCAGCTTCGCCCCGTCCCGTAGCGAGAGCCCGGAGAAATGGGGTGGGAGGGAGTGGGAAACGCTCGGGCAGCCCCCCGACGGCAGCGGAAGACCCCCGACGGCAGCCAGGGCCGCTCTGCGCCGGGCTACGGGCTGTGGGCTGAGGGCTGTGGGCTGCGGGCTCCGTCCCTGCTTGAACCCTAACGGGGCCGCCCCGTGTCCGTCCGTCTGTCCCCACAGGGCCGTACGCGGTGCTGACCAAGGACACGCTGCCTCAGACCTACAAGAGAAAGCGCTCGTGGTCCAGGGCCGTTTTTTCCAACCTGCAGAGGAAAGGGTTGGAGAAGCGCTTCGAAATACAGAAGTACGTCACCAAGCCGGACCGCAAGCAGCTGGCCGCGATGTTGGGGCTCACGGACGCCCAGGTATGGGGTGAGGGCTCCCTGCTGCGCTTGAGGGGGGGGATATCGAGGGCGGGGAGGGAACCGGAGACCGTTTTCCCTTCGCTTCTCCTTTGCGGCCCCGCACGTTTTTCCGAGCCGAGCACCGGGGAGGCACTTAGCTCCGAGGAAGAGTAGTACCTTTAATGCCCCTTCCCCGTTTTTTCTTTTTTATTTCCCCTCTAAATCTCTTCCTCCCCGCGTTGTGAAATCCCTGAGCGAAGGGAAGCGAAAGCTCTGCCTCAAACGGAGCCATTAAGTGCCGCTCAGCGATGATTCCGCTGTTGAGGGCCCGCGGAGTTGTATAACTCTGTGGTTTGTTGAGCAAGGGCCTGAGTTTCCAGGAAGAAGGAGGAGAAGGAGAGGAAAAGAACAAAAACAAAAACACCAATAACAAAAACCCACAACAAAACACAAAGCAAACAAACAAACGAAACAAAAGGAAAACTCTGAAAAAAAAAAATAGTAATCCAAACCCGGGAGTGGTTATTAAAACACGCAAATAGTAATGAAAAAGAAAGCCATAAATAATAAGAAAATCACCCTCGTGGTGTAAAGGTGGAGGCAGAGGAGGATGAGGATGGCATGGGGATAGGGATGGGGATGGGGATGGGGATGGGGATGGGGATGAGGATGGGGATGGGGATGAGGAAGATGAGGGCGGCCCGCCATGCCTCCCCGCGCTGCCCCACTCCCGCGGCGCTGCGCGGTTTCTGCGCGGGTATTGCGCGGTCCCGTGAGCCCGTCTGAGA